CCATTTCCATCTAGATGGACAAGATGAACAGATACATGGGAACACCACCCCCTGCAAGTTCCCCTCCAAGCCACTCTCAATCCTGACTTGGAATTATATCACAATTCCTTCACTGTGGCTGGGTCAAAATCCTGGAATTCCCTCCCTAAGGCCATTGTGGGTCTACCTACAGCACACAGAGACATAGGGTCATAGAGTTGTACAGCATGGAAACAGATCCTTTTGGTCCAATTCATCCATGCAAACCAGATATCCTAAATTAATCAGTCCCATTTGCCAGCATTTGGCCCATATCCCGCTAAACCCTTCCTATTCATATTCCCATCCAGAGGCCTTTTAAATGTTGTAATTGTACCAGCCTCCACCACTTCCTCTGGCAGCTCATTCCATACATGTGCCACCATCTGAGTGAAAAGGTTGCCCCTTAGGTCCTTTTTAAATATTTCCCCACTCACTTTAAACCTATGCCCTCGAGTTTTGGACTACAGTGGTTCAAGAAGGCAGCTCATCACCACCTTCATAGAATCCCTACAGTGTGGAAGCAGGCCATTTGGCCCATCAAGACCACACCAATCCTCTGAATAGCATCCCACCCAGATCCACCCCCTACCCTGTCTCTGTAACTCTGCATTTCCCATGGCTAACCCACCTACCCTGCACATCCCCTGGACAGTATGGGCAATTTAGTACGGCCAATCCACCCTAAAATGCACATCGTTGGACTGTGGGTGGAAAAAAGACCACCTGGAGGAAACCCATGCAGACACGGGGAGAATGTGCAAACTCCACACAAATAGTCACCTGACAGTGGAATCAAACCTGGGTCCCTGGCGCTGTCAGCCGCTGAGCCAATGTGCCACCTTCTCAAGGACAACTAGAGACGGACAATAAATGCTAGGCCAGCTAGTGACACCCACATCCCACATCCATGAGTGAATTTAAAAAAAGGCAAAACTGGTTATCAACTTCGCTTATTAGAGAAGTAATCTATTCTTCCTGCCCAGTTCCATTCAAACACACACACAGGACAAATAAGACAGTACCGATCTGCAGAGATTAGATGTTGTCTCTTTTAAAAACTGAAGAAACTGTGGGTCAAGATAGATGGGTGACTGTCAGGAAATGTGAGAAGGTAGTTCCAAAGTCTCCGGTGGCTATTCCTCTATCAAATAGATATTCAGTTTTTAGAACTGTAGAAGGGGATAGTCTCTCCAAGGAAAATGAAACAGTCAGTTATGGGACACTTGGTACGATTCTTACGTTAGACAGCATTTGAAAAGATTTAACAGAATTATTGTTAGAGAAGACTCTCCTGTCAGGGGCATAGACAGCAGATTCTGTGGCAGTGAGCATAAATTTAAAATAGTTTGTGCTTTCCTGGTGCAAGGATTAAGCACATTTCTAAATGTTTCAAGCATATTGTTAAAGGTGAGAATGAGAAGCCAGACATTATTGTACACGTTGGTAGGAATGACAATTTTAGGGAAAAGACTAAAGCAGCACAGAGTAAATTTAAGCGGTTAGGTAGAAGATTAAAAAATAAAACCACGACGGCATGGTGGCTCAGTGGTTAGCAGCTGCTGGCTCACAGCACCAGGGACCCAGGTTTGATTCCACCCTTGGGCAACTGTCTGTGTGGAGTTTGCACATTCTCCCTGTGTCTGTGCGGGTTTCCTCCGGGTGCTCCAGTTTCCTCCCACAGTCCAAAGCTGAGCAGACTTGGTGGATCGGCCACGCTAAATTGCCCGTAGTATTCACGGATGTGTAGATTAGGTGGGTTATTGGGGAATGGCTCTGAGGGTCAGTGTGGACTTGTTGGGCCAAAGGGCCTGTTTCCACTCTGTTGGGATTCTATGATCTATTAACTTCTGTTTTACTCCCAATGCCAAACGCAAACGAGAGAAGTAACAACAGGTTAAAGGAGACAAATCAATGGCTGAAGAGCTGGTGTATTGTTCAGGGATTCAGGTTTTTGGACAATTGGAATGTCTTATGGGATAGAAAAGACCTGTTCAAAAAGGATGGATCTAACCTAAACTGGAAAGGGACCAATATCTCAGCAGGGAGATTTGTTTATTCTATTAAGGGAGACTTTATAATATAGGGAAGATGAGTGGAGGAATTCTAAGTAGCAGTGTAAATGGAAGGATTGATGGGGAAGATTCTGAATTTGAGGAGAGCATGTCAATTAGAAAAGAAAGACAGGAGAGAGTCAGAGTATGTAGTAACTCTGAAGAACTAAATTGCATTTATTTCAATGGAAGGGGTCTTACAGGTAAGGCTGATGGACTCAGGGCACATTTAAGAACATGGGATTGGGACGTCATAGTTTTACAAAAACTTGGCTGAGAGATGGAGAAGACTAGCAGCTCAATGTTCCTGGTTTTAGATACTATAGTAAGAATAGAAAAGGAGGCAAGAAAGGATGGTGGGTGGTGGCGTTTTTGATTAAGGAATACATTACAGTTGTAACTGGAGAAGATATTTCTGAAAAACCGTCCAGTGAAAATATATGGGTAGAAATTACAAATAGGAAAGGAAAGATCACTTTGATGGGATTGTACTACTGACCCCCCCAATAGTAAGAGAGAAATTGAGAAACAAAAATGTAGGGAAATCTCAGATATATGTAAGAGTAAAAAGGTTGTAATATTGGGGGATTTTAATTTTCCAAACATTGACTAGAACTACCACAATGTTAAAGGTTTGAATGGTGAAAAATTTGTCAAATGTGCTCAAGAAAATTTTCCTTATCAATATGTGAATGCTCCTACTAGAGAAGGAGCAAAATTAGACCTTCTTTTGGGCAATAAGGTAGGGCAGGTGACTGAAGTAAAAGTAGGGAAACACTTTGGGTCTAGCGATCATAATTCTATTAGTTCCATAAAAGTTAAAGTTTTAATTGGAGTAAGGCAAATTTTAACGGTATGAGATAAGAACTTTCAAAAGTTGATTGGAGTAGACTGTTTGCAGGTAAAACGATGTCTGACAAGTAGGAGACATTCGAGAGCATGAGGATGAGAATTCAGAGGCATTTTGTTTCTGTTAGGGTGAAGGGTAAGGCTGGTAAGATTAAGGAACAGTGGATAAAGATATTGAGGTTCTAGTCAAGAATAAAAGAGAATCTTATTTTAGATAGAGACAACTTGGTTCAATTGAAATTCTTAATAAATATAAAGAGTGTGGGGGCATTCAGGGGCAAATC